TAAAAAGCTAGCGGTAAAGCCTTGAGTCCTTACAGTACTTGTTAAATACGTCGAGATTCTATATGCAGTCTAACACAGAGTTAAGTCTGCCTATATAGGTTATGTCTGCACGTTTCATTTTTGCTTTTTTTGCTTTCGATCGAGGTTTGAGGTATGTGTGTTTGAAATTTGCTTAGTACGCCGTTCTTTTAATGCACATGCAAACCGTATAATTTATCAAATAGATAAAACTTTTGTGCATAATTTAGGTAATCAAGGGATCTCGAAAACCGCCTTCGAGACGAAAGGATACAATTGAAAGCATACGTCGAGTAAACGTAAGTATCCATTATAAACCAAAATATGGTAAATATCTACGACTTTCTTAGATTTAATGAAACAGCCTATAAACCGTTACAGTTCTTTTGCAATATTTAGAAGTCCGGCCGCCTGCTAGAGTCTGGTTCGTTTGGGTACATCAGAGATTCTTACTGAGTGATAAATTTGCACCTTATGAACCACTCCATCCACCCTCCGTACTTTTCACATCACACAACATTTACACTAAAACTCAGTTGCATGGTATAAAAATTGTACCAGGGCTTGCAAATAAATGAAGACTTCGAGAAGAAAAGTCGTTTCGTAACAAAAGCTAACGGAGCACTGAGTTCAACAGATGAATTATTGATTATTTACCCAACAGAGGGCCTGCTGGGTCATTTTTTTCCTTAACAGATACCATAAAACATTTATACAAATTAAAAAATTACAGTTCATATTTTGTTATCTGAATGTAAACATCAGTCAGTTTTATTATGTCCTGGTTTAGTAAGCTACAAAATAAGTTACAAGTTGTCAGTGTAAAAAACCCATATATGCCATGCGCAATGCGTCGTCCAGAAAATCAACGCCACATACAGTTCATTTCTGGCACGGAAAACTAAACTCAGAGGTAGGCGTAGTTGACTAGAATCGAAGCCAGATCGTGTTTTAAAACATATTTATTAAAACCCAGTCCATTTAATCCAACCTCGTCCCCAAGGCTTTTCCCTTAAAAAAACGCGTGATCGCAGAGGTCAATCAATTTTTTAAAAATACAGGTCATACAGGCTAAGTCTAAACCAACGCTTGTCGCTGTGATATGACTAAGAGTAAGGTGAATAGAACTAGGCTGTGTACGGCGGCCCTCTTCGCAAGAAATGACATAAAATATCAGAAGAGTCGAGAAAGCGGACTTTACCAGTACATACTTTGTGCATGTACAATAGCTGTCTTGTTAGTCATTTATATCGCTCTATAAACAGAAGTTTTACAAATGTTACTCGCTGCCCCCTTCATAGAAACCGACGGAAAGCAAAAAATTACCATGGCCAGTATCTTGACAAAAAGGAAATCTTGTAAAACCTTTCGTTAATCGTTAAGAGATATAAGAGGCCGCCCAAGATCGCGCGGTGTGAAGATACGCATAATTTTAGCTTTTCACATAGCGCTAATTTATTACACCCAGGATTTTAGGGTGTACGAGGGGACACGTGACCAGCCGATACCAGGGCCTTTTCCCGCCCTACCCATTTTTTTAAGGGAAAAGCCCTGGGGACGAGGTTGCATTTAATTGAGCTCCGGTTTTTAATCGCATGGAATATACATGCATGATTCATTTTCTAGAGCCTTGCTATAACAGAAAACTAACAAGGGGGGGTAGGAAGAGAGAGTCAAGGAAAATTTTTCCAGGAAACTGTAACGATTAATCTTTGTTTTAAGATATGACAAAACACAACTTAACTGGAGTCCTCTAGTTTGCTGAACGCCCACCCTCCTCTAGCCTCCCTCGCAGGCGTTTTTAAGGGAACTCGTTTTTCATCCCTCCCGACAAGGTTGAGCAGGCGTTTGTGGGGAGGGATGAAAAACGAGCTCCCCTAAAAACGCCTGCGTGGGAGGCTACCCCTCCTCCTCCCAAAAAAAATAGTACTATCAAGCATACCGTGTTCTGTCGTGAATTGTAATACAAATTGTAAATTGTAAAGATGAACGCCCGGGACACACGAATCACCACGTGAGTTAACGCGTCAAAGTGAGGCAAAACGTAAGCAAGCGCCTCAAAGCGAGGCAAATGTGTGTCGCCACAAATGCAATCTCAAAAAAACCTCCCTTATTAATTGCACAAGACACCCAATAATGCACAGAACACCCAACAGAAATTAGGGGTTGCATTCGAGGTAAGTTCGCTTACGTATTTTCTTTACAACATTTTTTACCCTTCCGGACAAATTCGTTTTGTTAAGTACTCAAGCGTCATGTATTCTAGTTCTGAAATCGACGCTAGTTTAGTCAAATAACGCAGAGTCGACAGCATGTTAGAGTATTAAGCAACCGCTGCAAAAATTAGAAAGTCACCTGGATTAGTAGGGGTAGAAATTATGAAAGGATCAATAAAAAAGGAACCGGTTTTGATAATTATTTCGGTTTTAAGTGTTTCTGAAAAGAAAACTTTATGTCAATAAGTAACATTTCGCTGAATTAACGTTGAGATACCGCAATGTGAATTACCAATTGCAAGGATAATTTTACACTGACGTATAAATTAATTTATGTTAGGCTATGTTGGAGAAACATTGTTTTTATCATGAGCAATAAGTTTACCCTTTCAATTAAACAAATTGTTCGGTGTCGCCTGAGGGTCTAAGAATGATATGATAAAGAGTTTGTCCAAACAATATTGATTTCATACATTTCAAGATGTGTGTTTTCTTGGGGCTTAACACTTTGCCGTTCACAAAAAAGAAGGTTTATGTTCGTAAGGAATTTCATAATCCGTTTTTCTTCTGGGGCTAAACATTTATAGCCTGCGAACCACAGACGTTTCTCCTCGCTCATCGCCGCGTTCGTCAGCGGCGATGAGCGAGGAGAAACGTCTGCCGTTCGCAGGCTAAAACATTTTCCGTGGCAAATTTTCGTCTCTATCTGCGTTTTGTCATCATCGTTACATTACTAAAGATGACACTTTGCTCTAGCTGATGTCGCACATTGTGTCATATCAAATAGATTGAAAAGTCAACAAAGTGCACAAGAGAATTTTTTCTTTCTTCATTACTGCGTTGTTCAGAAAAAAAAAATTAATAAAGGTACCCATGGCAAGTTTGGTGCAGTAATATAAGCAATGAAGAAAACAAACTTGTATTAACTTTCAATTACCTTAAAGTGTTGCAGCCTCACCTTCTCGTATATAGCGGTCACCTTGTGTCTTACGGTCACGTACCGGACAACTTCCCAAAATTTTGAGTTGCCTTTAAATATCATATAACGGTCACCTTGCTATTTCCCGAGGGTGACCGTTGTACACTGTAGGTTTGACTGCATCTTCCTCCGGCTTAAGCTAAAATGTCGTGGATAAAGTTAGTACTTGAAAGTACCTCAAAGTGTATAGAAGAAGAAAGTCAAGTAAAATTATTTCCTCCTTGTGCCAATGCGAAAGCATGAAAGTGAAATAAGATTGAGTGGGTGATTCATTTTTTTTCCAAGATTTCGGTGTAACATGCACAATTCCGTGTGAGCAATTCTGCCCCTTTTGCATTGTCTGAGTCATTTCATTTGTTTGACATTTGACTGTTGATTCAAACAGCGGAACTTTTTATTGCGCGCAGCTCTCAACTAGTAAATGCAAACTAAGACAATTTCAACGTACCGTTTAAAAGGCAAAAGGAAGTTTTTAAAAATGACTAGAGGAGATCCTTTTAATATATTTCGAACGTAACATTAATTCTTATTTAAGAACTAACCAAGCGGTCAAAAAGAGTGCCATTTTTGTGTTTTTCCGTCAAATTTTCGGGTTCTTGATACCACACCAGACATCAGACATCAGACATCAGACATACCACATTAAAAATTTGCTGAACCTTAATGAGGGATGATGAATTGTCCATTAAAATTTTTAACTGCTCGCAAAATTTTACCTTTGCTCGATTTGCTCGCAAAATTTAAACGAGTGCTCGCTTGCTCGTGTTCCCAAAATTTTTGCAGTTGCTCGCATGCTCGCTTTCTTGTCAGTATTGCTCGAGATTTTGTGAATACTTCTTCGGATTAAAGTGAATGTATTTCTGTATGGTGCTTAATTAATTCCTATAAATATGGCTATCAAGTTCAGTGGAAATGCACGCGATAAATGACAACGATAAGTAATAAATTAGCTAATCTAGCTATATATGGTTAAAAAGAGAAGATATTGCTACCTTGAGTTTTTTTTGAGTTTCTCTACCGCTCTACTGACACTGGGCTTTAATTAGGCCGTGTTTTCAATAAAAACGGTTTGGAAGCTTTAATTTAGGATTCTTCCAGAAGAGGTTGTTCTGACACGAGGATGTTGTCCCTCTTCAAGTTCTTTTTCAAGTTCTTCTTTCTTCAACCCCCCTTGTACGCTCGAGACATTCCAACCTCGTTCCCAGGGTTCTCTCCTACCAGCCCTACGGAGCAAGGCTAAGTGCAAAGTAAGTGAGTTTTTATTCTAATGAAGATAAAACTCATTATCACAAAAAGGTTTTGCTCTTAGCCTCGTTTTGATCGTTGCGGTTTTTGGAACTTGAAAGTGACCTATTGAGCAATGAGCTCATGCTGAGCTGCATTGTGGGATTTTTGTACGTCGAAAAGAACAATCCTGGTTATGTAAAGATGGAGTTCTTGGTGAATTATTAGGCTGATTTAGCAACAGGACTGCAACGTCAGTTGACGAGGGGAAAGCTCGCGGAGAGGACTAAACACGACGTCCGGTGCCCAATTTGCACCTCTGCCATTGGTCAAACCAGTTGCTTGATTTGCGCGCGCCGTCGTAAACTGACGTTCCCGTTCTGTTGCTAAAACAGTCTAATTTTCCTTTTCAAGACTTATTACAAAACACGACAATGTGTTATTACAATTCACGACAGCTCGGCTTATTACAATTTACGAAAGCTCTCCTAATTGTGGGTAACACAGACCTAAATTATTTGACAATGGAATAAACTGTTGTTTTTGTTTTGGTAGGAGATGACATGACAAGCTCCACAAGTAACACAGGCGATATTCCCACAGATGCTCTGGCTGAACCGGGCCCTGATTGGCCAGCTGCAAAGAAAATCTGGGGATTGGCATGGCAACTGCACTGGATTGGCTTCGGTGTTCTGTTTGGCTCTCTGGCAGTTCACTCTATGTTTGTCATAGTGATGGTGAATATAAGGAAGAGATTTTGCCGTAAACCTTTGTTTCTAGCTATCAACTTGCTCCTGTTCTTCCTTGGAGCTACGAGAGCGGTTTACATGCTCCTGGATCCGTACGAGTCCAGGGAAAATGGAGTAGAGGATCCTAAATGGTTGACGCCTCTTCTCTTTGGTATCGCCTATCCGTGTTTAACATCCGCGTTTTCTTTGATCCACCTGGCTTTTCTTGAGATCACCAAATTAAAAGTTGGCCCAAGCAAGTTGCAGAATGTTAAGTTTTTAACTGCAGTCATAGTGCTCCACTTTATTATCGTCTTCACGGCGGAAACAACATCATCCATCAAGCCCGAGCTTGCTGCACTGTTGATAGTGTGCCAGTCGTTTTTCATCCTCTGGAGCCTGTTACTTGCAGGTAGCTTCATCTACAGCGGCTGCAAATTAATAAAACACGTAAACCAGGTTCAAAAACAGCTTAGCATCATCGAGAAAGATGAGTGCTCAAGAAACGCAAGACAGAAGGTGAGCACCACCAAAGTCGCAAAGGTTACTCTTATTACCAGCCTCTTGGGCCTCGTTGTGTGCGGTTTGCACTTCTACTCTATTATTGGCGTGTACGGTATGTAACGCCCAGGTCAGCTGGGCACCTGAACCAACTATCACTTGTGCAGAGATTCAAGGCATGCAATGTAATCTATTAGTTTACTGAAGGAGAAACATTATTATCTTTTAAGCTAATTTTCGATTTACTGCCGTACTAAACTGATTCAGACAACGCTCTCTCAGTTTTGCCGTACTTAAGTCATGTTAGGTTCGGCACACGAGTCGAGCGGAGTCTGAACTGGGCCTGACAGATGGAATTACTTATTGTAGCTTGGCTTAGCCAGCCATGACAATGCTCCTTTGAATGAATATTGATAAACCCAACTGAGACTTTATGTAGGTTTTCAAGCCTCCCTGCTGAACAAGCTTTCTTTGGGCAGGCAAGCGCCAGCAAGCGCTTTCCTCCAATTGCTTAAGGCGTAAAAAAACAGGTTCTGCAGGTTTGCCACTTTCCTTCGATTGTATTCTTTCCACATTCTCCTTGTGAATTCTGCTTATTTTTCTGAACGTAGATATTTTAAAGTAAAAACACTTCCCCCCTTTGTTTATTGCTATTCAAGAAAGGCCGGCTCTTAGAACGAAAAGCAATCTCGCCCAATAGAAACTTAAACAGAGTAAACTATAAGCAGAGAGGCTTTTCTCTAGGTCTGTCAAGTTTTTGAGGTCATAATCATCTGAGAAAAAAAAAATAGAAAAACCTTCTCCATCAGTTGAAAATGCTACAGAGACTCCGCTTTTGACGCATTCTTGGTGGAATTTGGCCGGTTAATTTTTACCATAAATCGTAGAGTGTGTCCATGTTGACTATAGCGACAACAAAGTAAACAAAAGTAGCTGATAGATACTTTTTGATGGAAGAAATTTTCTTTGAAGGTGTTAAATTAAATTCACCTATTGAAAAAAGTATACATCAAGTTATATGTCTTATTTACATTCAGTATGGCATCTGCATAGGACTTAATGTTCAGGAAGTGGGACGTAGCCCGCATGAAGATAAGAAAGAATAGATGTGCACTAAAGCAATTAAAAGAGAAGAAGGACAAATATATTGTCCAAAAAAAAAAACACGCAAAATAAAAATAAATTTAATTCTTTCTGGAGCAATAAGCAATTGTCCCAGCGCGCATCTTTTAGCGGGGGCAACATATTTTGATCTATTTTATTTCAGTCACAATAATAACAAAGAAATATGGGTTGCGAAAACCGAAGCATGAAAAAATATGATTGTTGCAAACTGCGCACTGAAGTGGACAAGAGAGTCTTTGTTGAAACAGGTGATGAAATGAAATGAAACTTTTGTTAAAAAGCTAGCGGTAAAGCCTTGAGTCCTTACAGTACTTGTTAAATACGTCGAGATTCTATATGCAGTCTAACACAGAGTTAAGTCTGCCTATATAGGTTATGTCTGCACGTTTCATTTTTGCTTTTTTTGCTTTCGATCGAGGTTTGAGGTATGTGTGTTTGAAATTTGCTTAGTACGCCGTTCTTTTAATGCACATGCAAACCGTATAATTTATCAAATAGATAAAACTTTTGTGCATAATTTAGGTAATCAAGGGATCTCGAAAACCGCCTTCGAGACGAAAGGATACAATTGAAAGCATACGTCGAGTAAACGTAAGTATCCATTATAAACCAAAATATGGTAAATATCTACGACTTTCTTAGATTTAATGAAACAGCCTATAAACCGTTACAGTTCTTTTGCAATATTTAGAAGTCCGGCCGCCTGCTAGAGTCTGGTTCGTTTGGGTACATCAGAGATTCTTACTGAGTGATAAATATGCACCTTATGAACCACTCCATCCACCCTCCGTACTTTTCACATCACACAACATTTACACTAAAACTCAGTTGCATGGTATAAAAATTGTACCAGGGCTTGCAAATAAATGAAGACTTCGAGAAGAAAAGTCGTTTCGTAACAAAAGCTAACGGAGCACTGAGTTCAACAGATGAATTATTGATTATTTACCCAACAGAGGGCCTGCTGGGTCATTTTTTTCCTTAACAGATACCATAAAACATTTATACAAATTAAAAAATTACAGTTCATATTTTGTTATCTGAATGTAAACATCAGTCAGTTTTATTATGTCCTGGTTTAGTAAGCTACAAAATAAGTTACAAGTTGTCAGTGTAAAAAACCCATATATGCCATGCGCAATGCGTCGTCCAGAAAATCAACGCCACATACAGTTCATTTCTGGCACGGAAAACTAAACTCAGAGGTAGGCGTAGTTGACTAGAATCGAAGCCAGATCGTGTTTTAAAACATATTTATTAAAACCCAGTCCATTTAATCCAACCTCGTCCCCAAGGCTTTTCCCTTAAAAAAACGCGTGATCGCAGAGGTCAATCAATTTTTTAAAAATACAGGTCATACAGGCTAAGTCTAAACCAACGCTTGTCGCTGTGATATGACTAAGAGTAAGGTGAATAGAACTAGGCTGTGTACGGCGGCCCTCTTCGCAAGAAATGACATAAAATATCAGAAGAGTCGAGAAAGCGGACTTTACCAGTACATACTTTGTGCATGTACAATAGCTGTCTTGTTAGTCATTTATATCGCTCTATAAACAGAAGTTTTACAAATGTTACTCGCTGCCCCCTTCATAGAAACCGACGGAAAGCAAAAAATTACCATGGCCAGTATCTTGACAAAAAGGAAATCTTGTAAAACCTTTCGTTAATCGTTAAGAGATATAAGAGGCCGCCCAAGATCGCGCGGTGTGAAGATACGCATAATTTTAGCTTTTCACATAGCGCTAATTTATTACACCCAGGATTTTAGGGTGTACGAGGGGACACGTGACCAGCCGATACCAGGGCCTTTTCCCGCCCTACCCATTTTTTTAAGGGAAAAGCCCTGGGGACGAGGTTGCATTTAATTGAGCTCCGGTTTTTAATCGCATGGAATATACATGCATGATTCATTTTCTAGAGCCTTGCTATAACAGAAAACTAACAAGGGGGGGTAGGAAGAGAGAGTCAAGGAAAATTTTTCCAGGAAACTGTAACGATTAATCTTTGTTTTAAGATATGACAAAACACAACTTAACTGGAGTCCTCTAGTTTGCTGAACGCCCACCCTCCTCTAGCCTCCCTCGCAGGCGTTTTTAAGGGAACTCGTTTTTCATCCCTCCCGACAAGGTTGAGCAGGCGTTTGTGGGGAGGGATGAAAAACGAGCTCCCCTAAAAACGCCTGCGTGGGAGGCTACCCCTCCTCCTCCCAAAAAAAATAGTACTATCAAGCATACCGTGTTCTGTCGTGAATTGTAATACAAATTGTAAATTGTAAAGATGAACGCCCGGGACACACGAATCACCACGTGAGTTAACGCGTCAAAGTGAGGCAAAACGTAAGCAAGCGCCTCAAAGCGAGGCAAATGTGTGTCGCCACAAATGCAATCTCAAAAAAACCTCCCTTATTAATTGCACAAGACACCCAATAATGCACAGAACACCCAACAGAAATTAGGGGTTGCATTCGAGGTAAGTTCGCTTACGTATTTTCTTTACAACATTTTTTACCCTTCCGGACAAATTCGTTTTGTTAAGTACTCAAGCGTCATGTATTCTGGTTCTGAAATCGACGCTAGTTTAGTCAAATAACGCAGAGTCGACAGCATGTTAGAGTATTAAGCAACCGCTGCAAAAATTAGAAAGTCACCTGGATTAGTAGGGGTAGAAATTATTAAAGGATCAATAAAAAAGGAACCGGTTTTGATAATTATTTCGGTTTTAAGTGTTTCTGAAAAGAAAACATTATGTCAATAAGTAACATTTCGCTGAATTAACGTTGAGATACCGCAATGTGAATTACCAATTGCAAGGATAATTTTACACTGACGTATAAATTAATTTATGTTAGGCTATGTTGGAGAAATATTGTTTTTATCATGAGCAATAAGTTTACCCTTTCAATTAAACAAATTGTTCGGTGTCGCCTGAGGGTCTAAGAATGATATGATAAAGAGTTTGTCCAAACAATATTGATTTCATACATTTCAAGATGTGTGTTTTCTTGGGGCTTAACACATTGCCGTTCACAAAAAAGAAGGTTTATGTTCGTAAGGAATTTCATAATCCGTTTTTCTTCTGGGGCTAAACATTTTTAGCCTGCGAACCACAGACGTTTCTCCTCGCTCATCGCCGCGTTCGTCAGCGGCGATGAGCGAGGAGAAACGTCTGCCGTTCGCAGGCTAAAACATTTTCCGTGGCAAATTTTCGTCTCTATCTGCGTTTTGTCATCATCGTTACATTACTAAAGATGACACTTTGCTCTAGCTGATGTCGCACATTGTGTCATATCAAATAGATTGAAAAGTCAACAAAGTGCACAAGAGAATTTTTTCTTTCTTCATTACTGCGTTGTTCAGAAAAAAAAAATTAATAAAGGTACCCATGGCAAGTTTGGTGCAGTAATATAAGCAATGAAGAAAACAAACTTGTATTAACTTTCAATTACCTTAAAGTGTTGCAGCCTCACCTTCTCGTATATAGCGGTCACCTTGTGTCTTACGGTCACGTACCGGACAACTTCCCAAAATTTTGAGTTGCCTTTAAATATCATATAACGGTCACCTTGCTATTTCCCGAGGGTGACCGTTGTACACTGTAGGTTTGACTGCATCTTCCTCCGGCTTAAGCTAAAATGTCGTGGATAAAGTTAGTACTTGAAAGTACCTCAAAGTGTATAGAAGAAGAAAGTCAAGTAAAATTATTTCCTCCTTGTGCCAATGCGAAAGCATGAAAGTGAAATAAGATTGAGTGGGTGATTCATTTTTTTTCCAAGATTTCGGTGTAACATGCACAATTCCGTGTGAGCAATTCTGCCCCTTTTGCATTGTCTGAGTCATTTCATTTGTTTGACATTTGACTGTTGATTCAAACAGCGGAACTTTTTATTGCGCGCAGCTCTCAACTAGTAAATGCAAACTAAGACAATTTCAACGTACCGTTTAAAAGGCAAAAGGAAGTTTTTAAAAATGACTAGAGGAGATCGTTTTAATATATTTCGAACGCAACATTAATTCTTATTTAAGAACTAACCAAGCGGTCAAAAAGAGTGCCATTTTTGTGTTTTTCCGTCAAATTTTCGGGTTCTTGATACCACATCAGACATCAGACATCAGACATCAGACATACCACATTAAAAATTTGCTGAACCTTAATGAGGGATGATGAATTGTCCATTAAAATTTTTAACTGCTCGCAAAATTTTACCTTTGCTCGATTTGCTCGCGAAATTTAAACGAGTGCTCGCTTGCTCGTGTTCCCAAAACTTTTGCAGTTGCTCGCATGCTCGCTTTCTTGTCAGTATTGCTTGAGATTTTGTGAATACTTCTTCGGATTAAAGTAAATGTATTTCTGTATGGTGCTTAATTAATTCCTATAAATATGGCTATCAAGTTCAGTGGAAATGCACGCGATAAATGACAACGATAAATAATAAACTAGCTAATCTAGCTATATATGGTTAAAAAGAGAAGATATTGCTACCTTGAGTTTTTTTGAGTTTCTCTACCGCTCTACTGACACTGGGCTTTAATTAGGCCGTGTTTTCAATAAAAACGGTTTGGAAGCTTTAATTTAGGATTCTTCCAGAAGAGGTTGTTCTGACACGAGGATGTTGTCCCTCTTCAAGTTCTTTTTCAAGTTCTTCTTTCTTCAACCCCCCTTGTACGCTCGAGACATTCCAACCTCGTTCCCAGGGTTCTCTCCTACCAGCCCTACGGAGCAAGGCTAAGTGCAAAGTAAGTGAGTTTTTATTCTAATGAAGATAAAACTCATTATCACAAAAAGGTTTTGCTCTTAGCCTCGTTTTGATCGTTGCGGTTTTTGGAACTTGAAAGTGACCTATTGAGCAATGAGCTCATGCTGAGCTGCATTGTGGGATTTTTGTACGTCGAAAAGAACAATCCTGGTTATGTAAAGATGGAGTTCTTGGTGAATTATTAGGCTGATTTAGCAACAGGACTGCAACGTCAGTTGACGAGGGGAAAGCTCGCGGAGAGGACTAAACACGACGTCCGGTGCCCAATTTGCACCTCTGCCATTGGTCAAACCAGTTGCTTGATTTGCGCGCGCCGTCGTAAACTGACGTTCCCGTTCTGTTGCTAAAACAGTCTAATTTTCCTTTTCAAGACTTATTACAAAACACGACAATGTGTTATTACAATTCACGACAGCTCGGCTTATTACAATTTACGAAAGCTCTCCTAATTGTGGGTAACACAGACCTAAATTATTTGACAATGGAATAAACTGTTGTTTTTGTTTTGGTAGGAGATGACATGACAAGCTCCACAAGTAACACAGGCGATATTCCCACAGATGCTCTGGCTGAACCGGGCCCTGATTGGCCAGCTGCAAAGAAAATCTGGGGGTTGGCATGGCAACTGCACTGGATTGGCTTCGGTGTTCTGTTTGGCTCTCTGGCAGGTCAATCTATGTTTGTCATAGTGATGGTGAATATAAGGAAGAGATTTTGCCGTAAACCTTTGTTTCTAGCCATCAACTTGCTCCTGTTCTTCCTTGGAGCTACGAGAGCAGTGTACATGCTCCTGGATCCGTACGAGTCCAGGGAAAATGGAGTAGAGGATCCTAAATGGTTGACGCTTCTTCTCTTTGGCATCGCCTATCCGTGTTTAACATCCGCGTTTTCTCTGATCCACCTGGCTTTTCTTGAGATCACCAAATTAAAAGTTGGCCCAAGCAAGTTGCAGAATGTTAAGTTTTTAACTGCAGTCATAGTGCTCCACTTCATTATCGTCTTCACGGCGGAAACAACATCATCCATCAAGCCCGAGCTTGATGCACTGTTGATAGTGTGCCAGTCGTTTTTCATCCTCTGGAGCCTGTTACTCTCAGGTAGCTTCATCTACAGCGGCTGCAAATTAATAAAACACGTAAACCAGGTTCAAAAACAGCTTAGCATCATCGAGAAAGACGAGTGCTCAAGAAACGCAAGACAGAAGGTGAGCACCACCAAAGTCGCAAAGGTTACTCTTATTACCAGCCTCTTGGGCCTCGTTGTGTGCGGTTTGCACTTCTACTCTATTATTGGCGTGTACGGTATGTACAGCAAAGTAGTTCACCCCTCGCCTTGGCCATGGCTGACTTTTCAATCGCTTTGCCGCTTCGTGGAACTTGCCATGGCGTCCACCATTGCTTACAGCGTGATGCAGGGGGATAAAAGGCAGAGAAAAGGAAAAACGGTCCCTACTAATTCGGGAGAGAAAGTAGAGCTAAGGACTTTAAGAGAGACGCATTTGAAAATTACAGATTTTACCGAACCAAACTGACTTAGTGTCCTTGAACTTCTCATTGAGAAACATTCCTTTAAGGAGACATAAAAGAACGTCAAACTTAAAATTAAAAAGTATATGGAGCGGTGTGCTTACAACTTAGACTTTAATTAGCTAGGAAACTGTAAATGTTAATTTGGTGGTAGTAGCAAAAGTAGTAGTAGTAGTAGTAGTAGTAGTAGTAGTTTAATTTATCATACTTTTGATAGCTATTTTTTTTCTTTTTTTCCATATCATATTCGTTCCTTTGCGAAAAGTCACCAACGACACCTTTTCCGCAGAAGAAACCAACTCAAAGCAAAGGTGTTAACAAAAGAAAGGCATTTGTTTGAAATTTTCCGTGCAACCAGATCGTTCTTGTTTTATATATTGATTGTGCTAACTAGAGTACATTTCAAAACAGCCTTGTGAATTGAACTTATGTTCATTGTAAATAGAATAAGTCAGAAATACAAGAGAAGTTGACGCTTGGAACTATGCTTAACTCTATTTTTTCTTCACAGTAATATTATTTTCCTGCACGCTTGCGGGTTAGTGTTTTCTAAAGAAACATGTCCATTTTCGTCTTAGTTTACCATTTATCAAGCCTTTTTTTCGCGGGGTCTGCGGTATACATAGTCGGAGGCAGTTAGAACCTTTTGTCCATTATCTTTACAGAAACCTTGCAAGGGGTGACGAAATTATCTCATTTAAAAATCATGGAAGAATATTCCTTTCTTGTAAAACCAGGAAATATCTTCGTCTTCGTTTCTTCATGCTCTCAGGAACCGTGAAGGAGAACATCAAGAAAAACGCAAGAGGGTCTGCTTTTCTCCCCACCTCCTTGCTCGAAGGTTGCTGTTAGTTGTTTAAAGCAACAAGTCAAAGCTACGTCAACAAAGAGGTGACCCTTCCAGCAACCTGCGTGAGTCTTAATAGGTAAGACAGCTTTCTGTGGTTTTTAAAGAAGACTTTTGTCAAAGAAGTTTTTCATAAAGAGCTGACCTCGATTTTGAAACCCGGTCACTGAATGAGAACTTTAGAGATGCTTCAGATATATAATCAAGAAGTTCACGTTCTTGTTGCTTCAAACGATTAATACTATCAACTCTTTTTGAACTTAAAATTTAACAAGACACACAAAAATAATGAAATCCATCCCATCATTGAAGCTATTTTCGTTTATTCTACATCGTTACTCGTCTAATTAGGCACATTATTTTAATGCGATATATATTCACAGATCCGTCGGATTCATATTAATTAAGAGTGTTTTCATATGCGCTGACGCTAATTGCTCGTGCGAACCTATAGCAGTTTTGTTTTTTGCATATAAAACATAAACTGCGTATACCCTGTCTACTTATTGTAAATGGTAAATGTACAACTTTTTATTCTTCAGAGTGAAAGCAAAAATGTCAAAAAATTGTGAAACAATTTTTTTCTGTTAGATTATTTTCACCTTGACCGAGTCCCTTGGAGTCGCCATTTTGCCCTTCTGTCTCTATGGGTCTTAAATTAAAGTCTACGTGTCAGACATTCCAAAGGGAAGAGCTTGATTGGGAGAAACCTTCTCTCTTTCGCGTCCTCGCACGTCCGATCTCCCCTCCGCCTCTTTCGAACGCTGCGCCTGCCACTCAGAGTGGCGCCATATATATGATGCAAGCTATCAAATACTCCAGGGGTGACTTCTGGTTTTACCAAACCCATCTCACGTTTCCTGTTGATGGGTGAACAATGCAACACCTGGCAAATTCAGCTTCGCAATGATACGAAGAGCCGACATGGAATGATCAAAATGCAACGTCTCTATGAACGCTTGGCTGCCACAATAATAATAATAACAATAATAATAATAACGATGATTATGATGATGATGATGATGATGATGATGACGATGATGATGATGATGATAATAACAATAATAATACTTTTATTTGAATTAACAATTATTCCCCGAAGGAGAAGTTAGTCGAGGGGATTATTCGACAGTATTAATTGAGCCTGAGGTGAATAATTGTTTTAGTATATTCACACGAAGTGATCTCAACAGAATCAGAAAGGAAACAATTAAAAAATGATTAGTTTGATTGGCGGGTGAATTCATGCGTGAACACGAAGCCGTAAACAGTGGATGCGCAGAAGTTAGATCTTTATCTGCAGTGTTCTTAATACCTTTTTAACTTGCCGGCACGTACAATTTTCGAAAATATTTGCCTTCCTTTTTTCTCCATAAATTAACTTCTATTTATAGGCAAAATTGGTCTTGCGAGAAAATCCCGACATCACAAAACAGTGACAACGCGGCCTCGTTTTGCTTTGTAGTGGTAAACATAGCTTCGAACGTACAAAAAGTAAGCTATACAGTAAGCCACTTCACAATAAATCATACTATTTAAACAACATGCATGGAGTCTTTTCTTACCTTCAAAGTCATCAACACTTGGATATTCGTGTATTTTCAAAAAGATCTTACCATGAAACTTTGGCAAAACACCCAGCTCACGACAGCGATTTTGTTCTGCTTTATATTCACCGCCTAGTGCGGTGAATATTTAACAATTATTCCTCGAGCTTGAATTGGCTCTGAGTCAATAGCCCATGAGGGCGAAGGCCGAATGGGCTATTTACTTAAAGGCCATGAGGGCGAGAGGAATAATTGTTTTGGTAAAATCCAACTAGTTGGTCAAGAATAAAAAATTTTTAGCTAGTTAAAGCTAGACCTTAATCCTTTTTTGCCGCCAAAAAGCCGGCGTTTTTCGCTACTAGTGGGCTATAACATCTAGCCTAGTAGTAGCTCAACCAATCAGAACGCAGCGTTGATAATAGACCACTAGTTGGATTTTACTAAAACGTCATAGTCCGAGATATCGAACCAATCAGACTGCTTGAATCACCAAGATCACTAATTTCTATTGCTTGTTAATGTTTATGTTTTTTTTATTGTGGAAGCCCCGGGGGACACTTAATTTCTATAATGGCCTACAGGGGGAGGCTCTACCCGAAAGGGAAACCTTTTTAAGGCTGAATATCATTATAAATATCAGGTATACCAAAGGGATAACCGTACTTCTTCTGTCAAAAATTGTATATAAAAGGATAAAGAGTTGGACCTCAGGGTGGAGTCTCTTCGTATAAAACTTTGTTGGGTAGCCCTCCAGGGTAGAAGCACACTCAACTGGTCTAGCTACAGTAGATTACAGACATTCTACTAAAGTGTGATTATACGCAAGGATCCTGCCAAACGAAACAACTGAACATCCCATAGTTACTACGTAGCGATAAAGCGAATCAGTTGGCTACAAGCTATAAAACTGAGCAAGTTCACAGGTTGAGCTCGAAAATTTCGAGAAACAACGTCCGTAGGGCTCAAAGCTGGACTTGGGTCCAGTACTGAAGAGCTGATTCAGTCGGCTACTTTATCTCGCTGATAACAACGGACAACGATTTGGCTCAGGCCAGATCAGTCTCTATACTGTAGCCGGTATCAGGCAATTATAAAAGCAAAGTTGACTGCAGCCTCTAGCTAGACATTCTAAAAGAGGTTTTCATAACATAGCATGCGACTAAACGTCACTGTCTAGTAGTAATAGTAGTAATAGTAATATACACTTATAAAGCGCCTTTCTCTTAGTGATCCAAAGCGCTTTACAATCAGTAAATACTTAGAAAACACATAACTCAAATACAACATAACAGGATTTTTAAAAAACCCCAACTGGCAGTCTATTTACAAGCGTGGCCGAGGATTTGAACTCGGAACGACGAGAACAAATCCAGCAAGTGGTCAGAGCGGGACTCGAACCCGGGACCGCCGGATTGCAAGTACGACGCGCTGACCACTCGGCCACGCTGCCTTCCAAAGCCTCCTCTGCCTAGAAATGTGAAGTTGAAAAACCAGACGATGGTACAGGCTTTCCATCTCCCACGCTGGTCGACAGGATTCTTTTGGAGTTCTTTCCTCGTTCCGCTGGCTGCATCACACTGTAGACAATGGTGCACGCCATGGCAAGCTCCACGAGACGAAAGAACGATTGAAAAGCCAACCATGGCCAAGGCGAGGGATGAACTTCTTTGCTGTACATACCATACACGCCAATCATGGAGTAGAAGTGCAAACCGCACACAGCGAACCCCAGGAAACTGCTGGCAAGAGTAACTTTGGCAACTTTGGTTGTGGAAGACTTTTTTTTCGGTTTAACTCGTAGGCGCTCGTTTTTCTCAATGGCTTTGAGCTGCTCGTGAACTGTATCTACTTGCTTTATCACTTTGCATCCACTGTAAATGAAACTGCCAGAAAGAAGCAAACCCCAGAGAATAAAAAAAGACTGGCAAACGATCAAGAGGGCGTCTAGTTCAGGCTTGATTGATGCTGTAGATTCCGCGGTGAAGACGATAACAAAATGGACTATGATGATTGCAGACAAAAACTTGACATTCTGCAACCTGCTTGGGCCAATTTTAATCTTGGTGACCTCCAGAAACGCCAGGTGAATCAAACAAAACGCTGAGGTTAAACACGGAAAGGCGATGCCAAAAAGTAGCAGCGTCAGCCATTCTGGATCCTTAACACCATTTTCTCTGGACTCGTATGGATCCAACAGCATGTATACCGCTCTCGTAGTCCCAAGGACGAAAAGAAGGGAGTTGATCGCAAGAAACAAAGGTTTACGGCAAAATCCCTTCCTGATATTTACCATCACTATAGCAACCAGACAGTGAACTGCCAGAAAGCCGAAGAGAATACCGAAGCCAATCCAGTGCAGTTGCCATGCGAATCCCCAGATTTTCTTTGCGACTGGCCAATCAGGGCCCGGTTCGGCTAAAGCTTCGGTGGGCAAGTCAGTTGGAATGCTTGATACCTTTGACATGTCCTCTAAACTCTGCATCATTTTTCTGTAGATTAAAAATGTAATATAAGATAAAATAAGCCAATTTCCCAAAAAAATCCAAATGATCTTACTCGTTGAAAATGCCTGCACTTAAGAAATGTAGGACTCGTCTTGGATTTAATTCTT